AGAAATATTATCATAAGTAATTTTGAAAGACCAATGAGGAAGGGTAATTTACTTGTTAGCAGTAAAATTGTTATGGAACATATCGGTCAACCCATTGCGCCATTTATAAAGACCGATAATGACTTATTGTTACCGCCAAAGCTTTCCGTGTTTCTTTGTCTAAAGTTCATATCTAGTTGGGTAGCTTTGCTTATTTTGTACTTGGCTTGCACTTGGTCTCAACTGAGACATGTATGTTCTAAATATTTTCGTTTTAGAAATTTAAAGCCAAGGTTAAAATCTTTTGAGAAAACCGATGCTAGTATAGTTTCTTATTTAAGGACATCGGAAAATGAATGCGAAAGAGAATTCATAGCCGAATGGGAAGATGCCAAATCTGAACCATACGTTTGCTTAACTCCAAAGCCGTTCTCACAAAAATATCGGCTAGAAAACAAAAGGTATACCTTCGATTCAAGCATGTGTGATCAAATATTTGATTTGTTGCTAAAAATAATTACATAAGAATTCTTGATCACCATGTCAAGCCATCAATCCAAGGACGAATGTATTGTAAGTTGCATGATTCGTTCAAGCATAGTTTTGAGGATTGCAATATATTTCGTCAAATAGTTAAATCAGCCATTGATAAAGGACGATTAAAATTTGTTGAGACACCAAAAGATGACCAGTCTATTCCGATTGGTCCCGATGGCAGAAAGTTTTTGCATCGGCTGCTTCAAGCCGATCCATTGAAAGAGAAGGTAAAAACTGCAGGTGATGGGATTAAGCTTTCAAATAATGAAGTTGTTGAAGAGCATAATGAACATAATCTTGAGGGCGAGAATTCCATCGAAGCTACAATGGAGATGCCAAGGACTGGGGGCAGCAAGCAAATCCAATGATCGATGAAAGCAAACAAAAAGAAAACAAAGACCGAAATAAGCGCAAGTGTAAGAGATCAAAGATCACCTTCGCTGAACTATTGGATAAATATCAAAAGAAGAGTGAAGAGAAGAATACTTATCGGCCGAATCATGTCAAGAAACCAAGATCACCCCCAAGGCGCAAATATAAGGATCGGTATTGGCAAAGTGAGAACTTGTATGCAACATATTCATATCCTTATTTTGGACGCCAGTGCCAATGCCGTGGATGCCTCCCTATGCTCATGTAGATCCATATCTATCATGGGACAGGTATGATACAAGAGCACATTCTCCATCTTATTGTAGACCATCTCACCAATATTATGCAGCTCTGAGAAAAACAACATTTGAACAATCACATGTTAAAGACCGTTTCAATCATAAGGAATCGGTCCGGAGCTCAAGGAAGAAGAAAGATGTAGTCAAACAAGTTTACCGCGTTAAAAGAGATGGTCATAAGAGTGCTACTTCAGATTTGATCTCAAATGAAAAAGAGCCAATGAAAGTATTGACATTGGCTACTACAGGCAATGAGATGAAGCAATCAATTGTTAAGAGTCAAAGTGCCAAATCTGAAGAAAAGAAGTTGAGAGTGCACAAGGTCAAAAAAGAATTGCCATTGGTCAAAATAGAATCACAGCCGAGATGCCCACTCGGCTTATCGTATTGGCAAAAGAAGGAATTACAAAATCTTAGTGCACAAGAGCTGAGAAAGAGGAACATGACATGGGTTCCCAAGAAGATCAATCAAGACAAAAATGATGTCCATACTTCTGTTGCAACAAGTAAAACAAAAGTGAAGAAGGAAAATAATGAAAGCAACAAACAATTAAGCCGAAGGTGCGCATCACAACATCAAAATCTTCGGTTAGCACGTCATCCATTTTCTTCAACCATGCCGTTGATGTCTTTGCCATGGAATTCATCCCTAGGTATGATCAATTACCCTCCATGGATTTATTTTGATCCATGGATGCAACATAATTTTCTATATCATGAGAGGGTATTACCAAATTACCATACATTTGGTTAGTTACATTGTTGCTAATACAAAGGGGCCGAAATATTTTATTCCTATTTTATTTATTTATTTCGGCTATACATACTTTGGTGGGTGAATTTTACATGGACCTCATGTTAACGGCTGATATTTATCTATCGCCCTAAGAATATGTCAAAGCATGGCCGGTGTAGTATCTTAACATCGTCCTTAGTTCAATTGGAGATCAAAACAGACCTCATGCCGCTTAAAATATTTTTGCACAATGATCAAAGCCGAATATGCATTGTCATTCGGATCGGAGCTTTGCCTTGCTATAGGTGCTATACATACTGAGGCTTTCGGTGATTCGTTATGAGTAGTGCAACAAATATCTAGGGTTTATCAATGTTTTGACGAATCACTTGTAGTTTATCTTGAGGTATGTCTAGATGCAAAATTTACCTTGGGTTGCTTTAAAATTGTTCATATATCTAGGCATGACAATTCAAAAGAGTTGGCACAGCAAGCGTTCGGCTACTATGTTAACCATGGTGTATTGCATTTCTATCAATAGCCAATGCTAGGTCTTGTCAACATAGGTAAGGCTGAATCGAAGCCCACCGCTTCGGCCACTAATGAAACTTTTATGCAGGCGAAGTAAGGATTGGAGGAAGTTCATTCTTGATTATCTGCAAAATCCTAGCAAAAGGGTGAACAATATGGTTCGGAGGATGGTTTTGATCTATGAAACCTTATCACCGAATTGTTATAGAAGCTGAGAAGTTTTCACCCAAGTTTGCATCAAGAGGTTCAAACAAGCAATGGCCGATATATACTTGTCGTCCTAAGAACATGCAAAATGGCCGATGGAGTGTTGACATCGTCCTTAGAACAAACTATGCGGAAGTTATTTTTCGGCACACAAACTTTGCCGAAAAACAGGGGGGCATGTGTTGACACCAGATTTTGGCACGGTCAATAACTTATTTAAGATGACCTCAAATGAAGAAGTGATCTTCATGAAAGAGTTCCGTATTGTCGATATGAACATCTTTGAAGTTTGGGTCATCGCAGTCCGATTTCATCTCGAAGGCCGAAACTATGCTCAAAGTACTAAGATCTTATATTCAGAGTATAGTTTGGCTGATTAAGCCCCCAACATGACCTCAAATGGAACATGATCTACACGGATTGTCTTCGTCTCGTCAAAACGATCGATTTCGATATAAAAATCGTTCAAATCCGAGTTCATATGCAAAAGTTAGAGCCATCGGAATGTAGCCCTGCCAGGAGGCGAAGTGTGGCGCGCCCCACCAGACGCCATGTCTGATGGGTAGCGCGAGCGACGGATGTTTTGCGTCACAGTTCGTTTTGCACGAGCTATTTGACCCTCAAGATGACCTTTGATAAAAAATCGTTCAACATGAAAGTTTTTCGTCTCGTTGAAACGGTCAAGATTGCTTTTGGACTCGTTTCCATCCGAGGTCGTTTACTGCCTCAAACATGACCCGCAAGGTGCAGCCAGGTTGTAAACCGAACCGTTTTGGAAAGTTCGGATAAAACCAGTCCGAATTTGACTAGGGTTTTGGACGTGAATTGATGCAATTTTATTGTAAGGAAAGTCTAGATGAATTCTTTTCTTGTACGGGAAGTCCAGCCGCCTCTTATATATGTTGGGGGTGACGGCCGATTGAACAACACACAATCGATCAATCAATCTACCACTTTTTATCTTTTATCTTTTCTCCTTAACCCTAGTTCTTCTTCTTCCTCGTTCTTCGTTCGTTCTTCTTCATTGCAGGGCGGCGAACCTCGAGGCCCTAGGGGCGATCAGGTCGACCTAGGGCAGCCCATAGCCGCCGCGCGCCCAGACGGAGTCCCTCCCGGGCGTGTGGGGTTTCGGGTCCCAAAAGCGCCGGCTTGCTGTCTTGCGTATCGCGCTGGAAGTCGGCCTCCCGCGGTGTGAGTTGCGGAGCATCTCCCTCGGCGCCGCGGGTACACATCGACGTGTTCGTGTGACGCGTTCCAGCGTCAACAAACTGTAAAAGGCCAACATTTCTCTTTTCTCGCTTCCGATGACATGTAACGATTTGGAACTTGGAAACTTGAAGAACCGTTTTAGTAAGCTTGTAAACTTCTTTTTAACTGTATAAGCTTTCTGAACGAGGTGATGGTGTGCCACTTCGTCACCGGAGCCAACCTGCCGGTATTCATGCCGGACGGAAATTCATCAAGGCCATGATCTTGCCAGCCCCAGCGCCCTAGAGAAGAAGCTATCACCATCAGAAGAGCCGAAGCGACGGACAACGGAAACCTATCTATAATCCCCAAATTGGGGAAAGCTACAACTCCGTGTGATAGATCGAGGCCTCTCCTTACTCCCACACCAACGGATGCATTCATGTGTTTACCAGTTTTTCTTAAGCCTTATATGGGGCTTCAAGTAAAGAGGATTTTTAACAGCGTACGGCTGGCGATGTGGTGAGGGGTGGCATTTTTTTCGAAATGGAAGGAAAACCCACCTCCCAAGTTTTCTCAGGCCACCGGATCAGATCTGCGCGGCCTCAGATCGAGGCTTAACAAAACACACGGGGATGCATTCTTTTCGAAGTGACCCAGGCCGCGTATTTTGCCTGCTGTCCACAAACTACACTGCATCTGCACGCATGATCAATTCGACATGGTAAAAAGAACTGCTAAATGTCATAGTGCCAATTGACCTCTCACTCAGCTGCATCTACGGCATTGCTTTCCTGCACATGTTTTCGATGAGATGCGCCAGTGGAGCGAGTGATTTCAGAGAGGTAAAAACAGATGAACAACATATATCCGGATATATGACTGTAATATTCTAACATCACTTTATTTCCTTCCTTTACCTCACATTGTAAACCCGAGACATAAAAACTATGTGACCTGACCTGATCTCTGATCCCCATGGCAACTGGGCATCACTATCCTCCTCTCTCCGCAAAGCAAAACTCCGAAACACAAAGAAAAGAAAAGAAAAAAGGGGAGGGAACAAAAAATTCTCACTCACTCACTCACTGAGGTCTCTTAGCTAACGAGCGAAGCTAAAAAAGGGCCAAAAAGAGGTGTCCATTTAAAGGCTAGCAACAAGTATCACTATATCTAGCTCTCTTCCTCCAGGGCTTGCTGCAGAAGAGACGGGCTCCTAACAAACCTTCCCTGAAATGAACAAAAGAAAAGAACATCAGTAAACCACAAAGACTTGGTTTCGACAAAGTAGACACGTAGGTGATGGTGATCTGGTGTGAGGAGTGAGGTTTTCCAGTGCTTGGCTTACAAATATTTATACTAGAGCTTTTTATTCTTTCAAGCATCAGTTCTAGTAGTGCTTGCCTTCATCCGAGGCCGACAGTCGGCGTTCACCTTCCGCACCTGGTACCGGATCTTCTTCGAGAACAGCCGGTTGCGCCGCTTCTCCTTGTACCTCATCACCCTTGCTTCCCTGATGCCACCAGACCCGTTCTCAGGAAACAAGTCGATGTCTGCAAGTTTGGCCTGCCACAAGGATTCATCCTTGATTAGTAAGACTCTAAGAGTATCTTCTCATTCAGAATCCAAGAAAAGGAATGTAAAACATGTTTACAGTTTTACATTGTTTTCAAACCGTGTAGTAACTCGTAAGGTAAGTAATGATGCCATCGTGTGTCCAAACTACAAACTACAAAGAAGCTGGACAGATCTGCATAATGATTCTTGCCACTTATGACAGCTGCAAGTCTTGCCATCTATCAGAGCAAATTGCAGAAAAGCCAACTGAATTGGGGCTAACAGTCTGTTGCAGTTGCTCTATCACTGGCCCAAAAGGCACCAAATTTGAGCCAAGTGACTCTCAGCAACAAGACAAACATGTAATCTATGGCAGGAAATCTCCAGGCTCAATTGCCTGTGGTCCGCTTTTGAATAATTGAGTGTAACTAGCTAACAGCATAATACTCCTAGAATGGTTAAATCTAGTTTATCCAATTTGTAACAGTTATTTTTCTATAGAACAATTTCTACCGTTATTCACCCACAAGTTTAGCAGAATATAAAAATAAACAAAACTCACGTGGTCACTGGACTTAGAGCTAAATTCAGCTCATGAAATTTAAGGATTAGGTTTGCTGTGATTCACTATTTAGTTTTTTTTCCCCATAAACTATTTTTACTGCTTCTGTTTTATGGGTTACTGGAGAGTATCAGTGATGCTCTTAAAAGGTGTGTACTTACAGATATGCAGTAGTACAGGACTGGGTACTTCTTGTGAGTTGTGGCTTTGTGAGGGACCATCAGTTGGATAAAACAATTTTCCTAGTTTATTGGCTTAATAGTTGATACCAGTTCCACTATTGGCAGTTGCATATCAACTTATCAAGCACGTGGTTTCTAGTTGTGGGGTGTCCCTTTTCCTTTGCTGAAGAAAGCCATTCACAAGAGGCAAAATTCTTCTGTTTGTCTAGCAAAAGGAGTTAACATGTCCGAAGAAATGGGGATGTAGAGCTAAAATTAAGCTACAGAAATACGAGGCACGCCGAAATTTGATTATGGTGGTGGAACTGAAATACAATCTTCTATCAGAAATCATATTTAGAGTAACTCATATCAGTTTAAACACATGTCTCTGTAATCTATCTGAATTAGTAAGACTGTCATAGAAGAGGTAACATCATCTACAGGGCGTGTCATTTTTTGTGTTTTTAAATGAGATTTGTTTTGAGTTAAATAACAAACTGAAAAGAAAAATTGAGTTACTGTTAGCTCATCAAAATTATGTTGCACTCCCCTACTGCACGCAAGAGGAAAAAATTCAGAGAAACCAAGTACTCACCCGCACTTCGGCGGCGGACTCAGACGAATCCGGCGCGCCGCCCTCGGCGAACATAGACCCTTTGCCGGACCACTCCTTGAGCACGTCGTCGGTGTCCAGCTTCAGCCCCAGGCCGGTCTTCGGCGCCTTTGTCGGTGCGCTGTCATCGTCTCCATTGCCGTCCGCCGCGTCCACTGTTCCATCGGCTCCCTCCTCGCATTTCCCATTGGCCAGCTCCTCCTCCTTGGCCATCAACTTCTCCATCTTCACCTTCTTCTTCTTCTTGCTCTTCTTCTTCTCTGGTGCTGCCGACGCCGGCGGCGGCATTGCGGTGTTGGACACTGCCGCTGCCGGTTCTGTCGGCGGTGGCGTCGGTGGTGTGACCGTGATGTCCTTCACCGGCACGGCAGGCCACATCCACCAGGCGCCGTCGTCGTCCCGCCGCTTGAGGGCACGGTTGAGGTTGGGTCGGGTGCTTTGCCGGGAGCCGAGGCCGAGCTCGAAGCGGCCAGCGAGACCGACCACCATGAGGCTCCTGAGGTAGGGGTGTATGCCGGAGCTGGACAGGATGGAGTCGTCGGACGTGGCGGTGGCCGTGTTGGCCTCCATGGTGAGGCTGCCCATGATGCCGTCGATGCCCTCGGCGGCGCCGCCGGCCGCGGCCTCGTCGACGTCGAGGATGGACTCGGCGTCGAAGCCGTCGTCGTCGAAGTCGAGCTCGCCGGGCTCGTCGGTGGCGGTGTCGGGGCTGGCGGGCGACGGCGCCGGGTCGCGGAACTCCCGGAACGCGCTGCTGACGGGCGTCGGGGACGAGCAGTTCTTGCAGGCGTCGGTGGACGGGCTGTGCGGCGGCGGCGGCGGCGAGGGCGAGGCCGCGTGGTCGCGGAGGAGGAATGCGGCGTCGGACAGGACGGGGAGCGGCGGGAGGAGGTCGGAGGAGGACGGGGCGGCGGCGCCGAAGGCCACGGCGAGGCCCGAGAGCGGCGGGCGCGGCGCCGTGGCCGTCTTGGGGCTCTTCTTGACGGGGAAGACGGAGGGGTGGATGGAGGCGAGCAGCGCGGCGGCCTCGTTGTAGGCCTGGTTGGGGCGCTTCCGCGGCGCCCGCGCGCGCTTGAGCGACACGGACGTGGCCGAGGAGGACGCGTTGGAGGCCTCCGAGAGCGTGGAGGACGGCGAGGAGTGCGCCGGCCGCAGCGGCGACGAGTGCGCGTGCGCCCCCGGCGACGCCGCCGCCTTCACCATGTCCAGGTCCAGCCGCAGCCCCGTGGGTATGCAAGAGGACGTCATCGCCAATGCCCCCTCAACCACCGTCACCACCACCGCCGCTCAAGCCGAGAATTTATTCCAGTTCTCCTTCTCCAGCCGATCAATCAATTCCACCGCCGCCACCACCACCACAGCTCCACAAGAACCGAATGAATTCTGAATTCCTAAACCCCTAAACCCCACGAGATTGCTCGTCAACCGAGAAATTCCCTTCCTTCTCGGCCGATGAAAGCGGCGAGACGGGGAGGAAGACGGAGAAAAGGTAGCGAGGAAACGGCAACTTTTTTCTTCTTTCTTTTCCGAGGGACAAACAGGGCGCTAAGCAGAGCCGCACCAGAGACCTTGGGACATGGGCAAACTCCAAAGAGGAAAGGAAAACTACTGGCCGCCCCCACCCCCACCTGGGATGGACTCGACTCGAGCTGCGCCTATATGAAAACACCAAGAACAAAATAGGGGACGGAAGGATTCTGCCGTACTCCTCTGTCCGTGGCAAGGAGAAGAGGTCAAGCCAGGAGCAGAGCCAGCAAGAACAGAGCAGGAATTCTGCTAGCGGGCAGCTGGGACTGTGGAGGTGTCTTCGGGATTGGAGATGGAGGAAGGGAAGAGGAATGCTAACTAGGGATCCTACTGGAAGGCTAGAGAGAGAGAGGGAGGGGATTGCGGGGGATTGGAGGCGGTGGGGGAGGAGGAAGAAAGGGTTCAAGAGGAGGGAGGAGGGGGTGGGGTTTTAGCGAGGGAGGAGCTGCTGGAAGAGACAAGCCACTCTCATGAGGTCGCTCTCCTCCCTCTGCCCCGTGGGACCCACGCTGCATTTTGTGCAGGCTGGCCCCCTCCCTCCCTCTCCTCTCTCTAGGTGGTACGTACATGTACATGTGTTGGAATCGTGCGGTGTCATCTGGGATTTGCAATGGATAGGTGGAGAGAGTGAGACCGATTTGCCCTGTGCTTCTATGGCTCCCACAGTCACAAGAGAACTAGAATTCCTGGGCTCACGGGTCAAAGATTAAAAACATCGTTGAAAATAACGAGATATGTACTACTCCCTCCATCCCATAATGTAAAGACATTTCGACGTTTTAACTTTAATGTAGTATAGAAAAACGTCTTATAATATGGGATAGCACCGGGGGAGTAACTTTTAGTGTGTTCTGGCTTTGTACCGTGGCATGGTTTCCATGTCCCTGATAGTAGTTTATCATTAGAAGATGAAGAGAAGGAGAAATATCGTTAGTTTAATCATCTGTTTGTTTCATGTGTAACCATGTCTTATTAAATCAAATATTTTCATCCGGGGACGGCACTGGCCAATGGAACACATGCGGCTAAACCATAATAATGCCGCCTTTTTGGACTAATACCCATTGTCGCCGTGCATCTTGTGCTGGATGGAAAGCAAAGGTTTGAAGCGTTCCTCCTCCCATATGTTCTTTGGTGAAATGTCAAGTACTATCACTTTGTCTTAATTGTCCTCAAATGTTGCACATACCAGTAGTATGCCTACTCCCTTCGTCCCATAATATAAGACGTTTTCTTTGACACTGGTTACATTATGAGACGGAGGGAGTAGTTATGTATCCCTGATAAGAATCGGCATATAGTTTTTGTTCTTCTCAAATATGCCGATTCTTACCATTTGTTTGTTGAACAACAGAACAAGTGTGTTGGCATTAACTATGTAGATTCTTTTTCGTTCACTTTTATTTTTTCCAGAAGACAAAACATGAGATTCAACCTTGGACTAGTAAATGTTATCTATTTATTTTTTGCCAGAAGACTAGTAAATGTTACTACTTTGCAATATTGAACATGACTACTCGCATAAGAAACCGAGCATGACAAATGAAGTGCTTGGAAACCCTAGCCTTGAATTTTCTTCCCGTGTAAACCCTTCATTGCTCCTCTCTTGGCAAAATCAAGCGAGCAAATTCTCGCATTTAGGTTCACGTTGCAAGAGCTTTCTTTGAAACCACGGTGCAAAAAATAAACACGGCACGCACCATCAACACTCACCACTTTTGATATGAGAAACCTTTCAAACCCAAGCATCCACCGTCAACCTATGACCAACAATTTCTCACAAAAAAGGAAAAAAAAACTATGATCACCTATACATGTTCAACTTCTGCTTGGAGGTTGCACCCACCAAAATGGATGGATGAGAAGTGGAAACCCATAGGAGGGCATATCGGTAATCTGGGCTGTGCTGGTACACGCTATGATTTGATTGCCCCGTCATCCTCAACGCCATCTACTGATCCAAATCTACCCGGCAAGTGGACCTCCCAACGGCGAGAAAGGAAAACCTATAGTTCCTGCTTATCTGCTGACACGGCGCTCTCCCATTGGCCGCGCCGGATTTCCCCAGGCCTACGTGGCGGCGGCCCTTTTATCGGCGCGCGCGGCAACCTTTTCACGTGAAGCCGTGGAAGGCGCGGGCCCCGCCGGATCTTGGAGGCTTGCATGCATGCATGGCCGACGATGGTTGGCTCACACGGGCGCGCGCACACACACACAAAGCTTTTCTTTTTTTTCCCTTTTATTTTTTTTTGTCTCCGTGTACGGATTATTTGGGATCTGCGTTGCACGACTTGGATCGTTTCACTCCATGAGCGCATGCCTGCTACGGCAAACGGTTCAGGTGAAGCAGAATTTTAGCTTCCTCACAAACTTTCAACCATGTAGACATGTCATGTGATTCACTGTTTTGGGACTCAGTACTTCAGTAGTGCACTTTGAAAGAAAAATCATGCGTTCCAAATGGACATTTTTTTGCTACTAGTTCTTTTTTCTTTAAATAAATCGAGAGTGCTGAATGGATGTTGAAGATTTACGGCGACTGTTTGCCTTTTCCTGTTCGTGGCCTGGCCCTCACCTTTTGACGTTGGGCTTTTTTTTATGGTATATTTAGGAACTGGATTGTGTGGTAGCCATGCACCATACGTTGTGTCCCCATGGATCAATCGCTAATGATAGAGGGGAGGGGCCGGGTGAGCCAATCCCAGCCAACCAAAGAAATCCTCCCTCTTTGTTTAGGATGAGGTTATTTTTCTTTTGTCCCTTGTAGGACACAGTAGGTAGGGTTGGATCTTTTTGTAAGACCAAGATATTTCATCTTTTACACTCCAAAAAAAGTATCTTTTGGTGGCTGGTAGTTCCTCAAAATCTATTCTTGTTACAGAATTTGCATTTTGTGGTGTATCCTAGAACATTATAATTCTTAAATAAATGTAGAAAAAAGAGAGACGATGACATTTTTTCGTTATAAAACAGTTATAAAATGGGCATGAAATGAAAATTGAACATATGAGGATATACGTGCTATGCCAGGGCGAAATATATTAGCGACATGTGAATATATCTTGACCATTTACATCTGTTAGGAGTAGATTTTATACATTATTGCTAACGTTTGTAGGCTTATCTTTTCCGAAGATAATTCTCTAGCTAGTTACATGTTGCCACCAAGATTCCAACACAGCACACAATCAACCTTAGGAATTGAAAGGCCGTGATGTACCGACCAATCGTGTTCATCTACGCACGGAGGAATTCAGATAGGTTCGCCCAACAAGTGCCTGTAGAGCTAGAACGTACCAACAGATTGTGTGATTGCATTGTCGCCAGCTATTTTTCAGACGTTTGTGCAGCACTTGTTCTACGGCTCTCATTTGCTGTCCAAATACATCTCCTTCGTAATATCCCCAAAAATCTCTCTAAAATAAATAATATTATCCATGATTTGTTCTGCCTATGTTTGAATTTCTGACCAATAAAGGGCTGCACAAAGCAACTTGTACTTGTCTCTTTGTAACGTGAAACTCCAAGGACATAGAAGTAGAAAAAAAATCAGAGTATTACGACGCCTTGGCTTGTTGAATCATGCATGAAACCGAAGCATGAATTCTGCAGTAATTTGAAGGGAGAGCAGGTCAATGCCAAAAAAAAAAAGCATGCGTACTCCTTGTGCTCATGTTAAAATTCCTCCATAGTTCTTCTGGATTCTGCTTACTTGCTTAGTCCATGTGGCAAACTCATGCATTTGTTTAATGATAGCTCGTACGGAAAACAAAGTAACATAAGCTATGGAAATCATGTACTCCGTCCGTCCGAAACTACTTGTTGAGGAAATGGATGTATCTAGACGTATTTTTAGTTTTAGATACATCTCACTTATATCCATTTCTTTTTTTAGAAACATTTATATCCATTTCTGCGACAAGTAATTTGGGACAGAGGGAGTATGAAGCATCTATCTTGTCTTGAACCTTCAAACCATGATACTACAAATGATTAATTGCTGATGCATTAATTTCCTGCATTTCTTTGCTGGTGAACTGGTAGGTGTATGCAAGTTATGACATTAGAGTATGGATGTCTAGAGTCCAAGAGCTGAATGACGCATTTCAAATTTAAAAACCTGTAGCCCGTTTGGAACGTTCAGATTGAAGTTATACGCTAGAAGAAGAAGTTTTTTTTTTTGGAAAAGGGGAATTCCCCGGCCTTTGCATCAGAAAGATGCATACGGCCATTTTATTAGCCAAATAGATAAGTATCTACATGGTTCGAAAGGTCGCCAAAAGTAATAGAAAAGTACAGAAGCTCACACAGAGCCTAAAAAAAAGGCTAGAAACACCCACTAGCCAAGACAAGATGCCACAACCGGCCGGCCCAACGTAGATAGGGAAACTAAATACCTATCCTATTACATGACCGCCATCCAAACCGGTTGAAGATATCCCGAGCTACCATCTCCCAGCGGAAAGATGCAGTAACCAAATGCTCCCTGGCCGCCGTCTGGGTGAGTAGCGACCACGGACGGATCAGTGCCGTAGATCGGAAAATGACCTGCAAAAAATGTATACATGATAATCTGTTAAAGACCAAATCATTTCTACAAGTCCAGAGAGTCCACAGCAAAGCACAAACTCCAACCCGAATATGTCTCGCTAAGCCAGGCTCAATCCCATTAAGCCAAGTCCCAAATAACGCATTAACAGAATTCGGTGGAGTGATATTAA